CAGTTCCAGTCTGAATTTGTATATGAGCAATTGATGGTCTGTTCCACAATCTGCACCTGGACTTGTTTTGGCTCATGATATGGAGCTTTCTACCGTCTCTTTCCACAGATTTAGTCAATTTGATTTCTGTGTGTTCCATTTGGTGAAGTCCATGTCTCTTATGCTATCTAAAGAAGGTATCTGAAATGAATAATTCATTGGTTTTAAAGACTTCTATCATGCAATCTCCAGCATCATTTCTATCGCCAAGGCCATAAACTCCAGCTACTGATTCTTCCTCTTTGTTTCCAACCTTTGCATTCCAATCACCAGTAATGATCAATACATCTTGATTGCATGTTTGATCAATTTCAGATTGAAGAAGTTGGTAGAATTCTTCTATTTCATCCTCACTGGCTTTAGTGGTTAGTGCTTAAATTTGAATAATAGTGGTATTAACTGGTCTTCCCTGTATGTGCATGGGTATTATCCTATCACAAACAGTGTTGTATCTCATAACTGATCCTGATATGTTCTTTTTTACAATGAATGCAAAACCATTCCTCTTCAATTTGTCATTCCCAGCATAGTAAACCATGTGGTTGTCAAATTCAAAATTGCCAATACCAGTCCATTTCAGCTTACTAATGCCTAGCATATCGATGATTTTGCATTCCATTTCATTTTTGACAATTTCTAATTTTCTAATTTCCATACTTGATACAGTCCATGTTCTGATTTTCAATGGATGTTTACAGCTGTTTCTCTTCATTTTGAGTTGTGCATCATCGGCAAGTGAAGGTCCCATGGGCTTTATTCCCATGGGCTTTACTCCATTAGCATCATCACGGTTGACTGTACTTTGAGGAGGCAGCTATTCCCCAGTCATATTTTGAGTGCCTTCCAACCCGAGTGGCTCATTTTCTGGCACTATATTTGGCAGTGTTGCTCTGTTATGCATAAGGTTTTCAGTGACTAAATATTTGGATGTAGTTTGTCTCTCCTTCTTTCTAGTCTGTCTTCATCTGGAAGCTCCTCTGAAAGCTGTCCACCATGGGTCACCCTGCTGGTATTTAAAATACCAGAGGCATAGCTTCCAGAATCAAAGCAATTCACAAGCCACCACTGTACGACAAACCGACAGATGAGTAGTAGACGACACCATTATGATGCTGGATATACTACATAAATGTGTATAATATACAAATATAAAATTTTGGCTTTGCATATTTAAAGATTATCTCTATTTATACTTTTTGTTAAGTGCTGTTGAGCCTGTTCCAACTCATAGTGATCCTGTTATAGGGTTTCTGAGAAGTGGCTGGTGTTTTCAAGTTCCTACTTTACAGTTAGCGGTCCAGTGCTTATACTAGAATGGTACACCAGAACTCCATGTTTATACTTGTTGTTGATGTTGTTAAGTGCCATCGAGTTGGTTCTAATTCATAGCAAACCTATAGGGTTTCCAAGGAACAATTGATGAACTTGAACCGTTCACCTTGTGGTTCCAACCAACCTTGCAGTCTAACGTATTAGCCCACAGTGCCACACCAGAACTCCATATTTATACTATTGTTGTTGTTCTTAAATACTATCGAGTCAATTCTGACCCATAATGACCCTCTACAGGGTTTCTGAGGCTATAAACCTTTAAGGGAGCCGAAAGCCTCATTTTTCTCCCACAGAACAGCTGGTAGTTTAGAACTGCTGACCTTAAGGTTCACAGTCTGATTCATAAACACTACGCTACAACTAGCAATTATCAAATAGTTAAAAGTAAAGCCTTCAGACAGTTATAAAAGTGAAACAATTCTAAGAGAGGAAAATCTATGGTTTTATACATATATTGATCATTTATTTGAATTAATGGTAAAAATGACAATCATAATAGCAAACATTTATTGAATTGTGTTGTAGTCATAGTATTGTGCTTTAAATGTGTTTTTAAAAAAATCTTTACATCTTATTTTCTCATTTATACATGAGAATACATATTAAATAAGGTATTAAGAATCGGAACAACTTGTAAATGCAGTGTACATTGATTTCGAAGTTGTCACTTTGAGACGTATGTACTGAATCTTGTGTTTATCCAATAATATTATTTGTTGTTTCTCCACATATTTTAAAATTAATTTCAGTTTCAAATTTTTCAGAGTAAAATGTTCACCCTGTATTTGTAGCCACTAAGTTATCAGGCATGTGAGTTCATCCATAATATTTTAATTCTTCAATTACTGTATAATCCATTTATCTGACAAGCATTTTCATTCTTTAGTAAATATGATAAAAAATTCAAAATACACTCATAATTTCCCAAAAGTTGAACAGGAATCCTGACCTGTAAGCCAAATTATATTCAATGTTAGTTTTGACTTTCCTTAGCATCTTTATCTATAAGAAGAGGGTATTTGTGGGGAGAAGAGTTAGCTCTATTCTAATGTTGGGAAATATTTCCTGTAGGGAACCCTAAAGCAATCATTATTTTGCCTAACAAAGACTTAATAGTGCAATCTAGAAAGTCATATATTCCTAAGTGATGGTTTCTGTTTAGTTAAGGCAAGGACAAGAGGGTTAAATTCTAGAAGGAAGGCCTGGGTAACAGATTATGAAGGATGTCTTGATTATAAAGACTAGATAGAACACATTACTGAGGGATGTTGAGTATTACAAACTTTCTTTTCTTAAATATGACAATCTGTTGACATTCCTTTCAAAACATTATGGTCTCTACTACAGAACTTATCTTTAAGTAAAAAACATTCATTCATACCACATGTCTTCTACATATAATTAAATGTGGATTAATTAAAAATCCATAGTGTTTATAACCCAGGATGAGTGAAATTCAATTATAAAATATTTATTAGCTCAAGAACCAGGGATCTAGTAGCGAAGGGAAATCATAGATGATCTAAAGAGATACATATGGGTATATATGAATTTACTTTGGGGAATTTAGATATGAGTCTTTTCTCTCCTGTTTTTAATTAGCAAATAAATATATAGGATGCTCAGTTCAGTTTGAATTTCAGGTAAACAAGAAATACTTTTTCAGTATAAAAAAGAATTTTACTATGCCTCCAAAGGATGTACAAATGCAATAAGAAAATCTGTTATTTATATTTCAATTTTAACTGAGAATCCAATATTTTACCTGGTAGCCCTGTGTCTATGGGAAGCAGAGATTAATTAGTCCATAAACTAATGAAGCTTAAGTTTCAGGACTCCTCACTTGCAGACTTTGTGTCTTTTTTTTTTTTTTTTTTGGTAGTCTTTTCATTAAAACGTCATCTCCTCAATTATATAAACCTTAGGTGCTACAAACCTTGGATATGCCCCTGCAAGGGAGATGTATGAAGAAATAGATTAGACACAATGAAGGAGAAAGTAAATTTAGTAAACTCCAGAGAACTGTCCATTCCCTTGTCACATTTGGAAATTATTTTCCAGAAGATAATTAAATAATAGCTGAGTCTTGAGACAGCCTTATAACTGACATCTTGCTGTCATTATATAAACTAGAGACAGAGGGATACATTTTATATGGAGTGTTGACAAAGCTTAAGAGTGAAGAAACCAAATGCTCTGAGAAATTTAGTTTTTTCCCCCATGAAATGAATCAGCAAATGTTTCACTTCCCTTTCCACTCATTAAACTAATTCAGTACTTCGGGTACTGTAGACTTTAATGCCTAATGGAAATTTTTTAATGATAATGTTAGATACTAAAGCAATTAAATGATGTGATTAATCAGCTTTTATATCATATATTTTCAAATGATTTAAGACTCACACTTAATCACTCTATCAAAAATTCTTATGGATTAACATGACTATCACTAATGATGGTGTTTAATGGGTTGTTGCTGTAGTTGTCAAGTGCCGTTGAGACATTTTCAACTCATAGCTACCCTATATAGGTTTTCTGAGGAGTGGCTATTGAATTTGAACCACTGACCTTGCGGTCTAGCGCATTAACCCACAGTGTCACACCAGGACTTCATAATGGGTTATGTTGTTGCTGTTGTTTGGTGCCATTGAGTTGGTACTGACTCATAGCAACCTTATGCACAGCAGAACAAAACACTGCCTGATCCTGGGCCAACCTCAGTACTGTTGCCATGCTTGAGTCCATTGATGCTACCACTTGGCCAATCCATATCATTTGGGGTCTTCCTCTTTTTCTCTGTCCCCCCACCTTACCTAACATGATATCCTTCTCCAGTGACTGGTCCCTCCTGACAATATGTCCAAAGGTATGAGACATGAAGTTTGGCTGCACTTCTAAAATGGATCTATTGGTTCTTTTGGCAGCCCATGCACTTTCAGTGTTCTCCTCCAACACCACAACTCAAAAGCATCAATTCTACAGTATAGGAATGGTAAAAAATGACACAAAAAACATGGAGAGCATCAAAGAGACATGGCCTCAGGGGAGCAGTGCTGACTTGTTTCTAAGGCTCATATATCAGAAAGGACAACCAAACTGTTGTTACTGTCCTTTTTGTAATACATTGCTTCTTGTAATCAACCATAGATGTGAGTAAACTTTAGTGCCTTTGTGGCACTATAGGATAAAAACACTGCAGAATTTTTCCAGCCACGCTGCCTGCCAAAAACTCTGCTCATGGTTAGTTGTGGTGAAAGCGTTTCTAGCACAATCTACTCCATTGTGTTTGAAAGTGTGAAGTCCCGAAAACCTACTGAGTCTTGGCCTTCTCAGATCCATTACAGATCTGTTTTGCTGTTGTCTCTTGGCTATGGCAATCTGTCTGATGATCATTATAACAGCAGTTCTCTACTAGTTTAAACTTTGTGGGAAGTTCATCAACATCATCAAAAAGTACTGTAGGACTACTGGCCTCATTCTGTACTTGGTCATCTCCATAATATTAACAGCCTTATTTCTTGTCTAAATCAACCACAGTGCCATTGACAGCCCACAGGGTTCCTTGTCATCAGGATCCCATCTGTGGCAACTTTTCGTCATATATTATCTACTGAGAAGGGCATAGAGGCATGGAGTCAGTGTTGATTCCTGTGCTGCTTGGTGGACTTGTTAACTGTGTAGCCCAGTTAATAACAATCGCTGAAGAACACAAGATGACGCAAGAACAACAACGTCCTTCCAATGAACAAAATGATAGAGAAGAAGAGATGAATAGAGATGCACCTCCTCCTGAGGAACCACCGCTGCCGGATCTTACACCAAGGGATGATGAAGACCTAATCCTTGATATAGATCAAGCTATGTTAGCCATGGATGACTTCTGTGATGATTCGCTCTGTGGTATAATCGATGATTTAAGAAGTGATTAAGATGCAATTTGTCTCCAGCAGCATATTGTTTATTTGTTTCAAATGTAGTCATATTTTTATGGATATAGAAATGTTAGTTTTCTTTTATGTCTGCACTTTTTCATTACCAATACCTTATAGAACAAGTAAGATTTTATTTGCTTCCAGCAGAGACGGGTGTCTTTTCTTCTTCCTGGGTGTTTAAGGAATTGATGGAAATAATTTAAGGAATTAATGGAAATAATTCTGAAAGAAGCAACATTTACCAAATAATAAAATGGCATGAAGGTTCTCAGATGACTGTTATCAAGGAGAAATCTTTTTAAAAAATTGGACCAAGAGGTTCCAGTACAGGACTGTTGCAGCACACATGTGTGATGACATACATCACAACTACTCTGCAATACGTCTGACTAAATGCAACAGGAAAATTATACCAAATTTTAATAAAGAGATGTGTCCATATTAGAAGAACTAAACAAAGCCCTACAAGAACTATTCACCAATGGAAAGGCAAACATGGAAGTGGATAAAGTCCATTTTCTTGTGTATAACTGCATTTAAAAAGAATATCTAATAGGCTTATTACAGTGGACCTGATGTAACCTTGACCTAGAAATCTTTAATATTGAGAGCTGAGACCAATATGAAGTTAAACATGTGAACTAATAACCACTTTAATTCTAGCAATTGAAGAAGAAAATAGAATAGGATGCCTTCTGCTCCCATAAAGTTTTACATCCTCATAAAGTTTTACATCACGATGAGTTAGAATTGACTCCGTAGTAGTGGTTTTCATCATATGAAAACAGACGGACCAAACAAATATATAAGATATTCACTGACAATACCAATTCATTTCCATTTGGAAGGATAACTATCCTTCAGACAAGCCCATGAATACTCTGGGCCTCCTCAGAAGATAGTCTTTGTATTCATAGCATAGGCAGAAATATGGCAAAGACATACCAGTCTGCCATTGGCCAATGTAATATATGTATATTGTGAAGAAATGACAAAGAGAAAGCAAACTGCATTGGTGGAAGACATAGCAATTTAGAGTCCTAAAACATAGTCAAAAGGATTGAAATGAAATTTAATACAGATGAATTCAAAGCTGACCAACATGCCAAGTGCTGAATCTAATACTAAATGAGATTTACATGCATAGTTAGCTTTCTTTAAATGGTTAGTACAAATGGTTAATGCATTAGGTTGCTAATCAAAAGGTTGGAGGTTCAAATGCACCCATCAGTGACTTAGAAAAAAGACCTGATTGTCTACTTCCCCCAAATAAGCCATTGAAAACCCTGTGAATTACAGTTCTGCTCTGACATACATGGAGTTGTTGTAACTCAGAAGTAACTTGATGGCTTGGGTGGTATGGTGAAAGATAAATAAGGATGATTATAGATTATATAAAGGAGCTCTGGTAGTGTAGTAGTAATGATTGGGCTGCTGATTTCAAGGTCAGCTCTTCAAAACTACCAGCTGTTCTGTGGGAGAAAGATGAGGCTTTCTGCTCCCTTAAAGACTCATAGCCTCAGAAACCCTATGCAGGATCATTATGAGTCGGGACCAACTCCAGGGCACACCACCACCATAGACTATATAAGGAGCCCTAGTGGTACAGTGGGTTATGAGTTTGACTGTTAACTGCAAAATCAGCAGTTAGAATCCATCAGCCACTCCATAGGAGAAAGATGAGGCTTTCTGCCCCCTTAAAGACTTACAGCCTCAGAAACCCTATACAGGGTCGCTATGAGTTGGCTCCAACTCGATGAAACTTAACAACAGGAATTGGAACCAACTTGATGACACACAGCCACCACTATAGACTATGTATCTTATTTAGAGGCAAACAAAGATATGAATAATAGAATAAAAAGTTCTATCATGGACCAAATATTGTGGATAAGACCTTAATTTGGATTTTATAATTTCAGAATAGGTTAATGTGAGTTTGTTAAATGCTTAGGGTTAACAAAGGAACACAATCATGCTAATGCAAGAAGATCTTCAAAATATATCAAGAGAAACCGGGACGACTACTCTAGACCTTGAAACAAGATTGGAACCTGAATCCTACTGTAAACAACTAATGGCCAACACAGTTCATAGATGTCAAAGCAGGAAGATATTTCAATCTCATAATATGTGGAGGTGGCTAGCCCTTTGGCTAGCTGGTTCACTTGAAAATTTTGGACTATAATGCTACATTAGAACTACATGAAATATATTGCAATGTTTGTTTTGCTTTTGTAATTACATATGTTTTAAGAATTCTTAAGATGTAACTCTACTCCAAGGAGTGGACTGTTGTATTAAGTATGTTTGCTACATGGAATAGAATTAGAACCAGAGTAAATAGTGATAAGAAATGAGCTTGGGAAATAAAATATTTGGGAGCAAAAACCTAGCAGAAAAGAGATTTTCAGAAGAAAGAAGAAAAGTAATAATGTTGTCAACTATTATATGATTATTAACAGTGGGGATTTAGTTTGTGATATGGAGTTAGTTTCTAAACAGGTTTATAAACCAAGCTCTGTTTTTGTCATATGTAAATTAACCAACCCTAAGATTTTGATATGATTAGAAATAACTGGTTAGCAATTGACACAAGTCATGTACATCAAAGCCTGATTAAAGGGAAATGTACTCCTTATAAACAAACAAACAAAAAAAACCACTGCACTGTTAACCACAGAGTGGGCAGTTCAAACCTGTCAGCTGTTCCTTGGAAACCCTATACATGGTTGTTATTGAGTTGGAACTGACTCACCGTTACTTAACAACAACAAATAAGTTAATAAAAACAGACAAACTACTGCCTTTGAATTGATTAAAACTCATAGTGACCTTACAGAACAGAATAGAAAGTCCTCCTTAACGTTTCCAAGACTTTAAATTTTTATAGAAGCAGAAGTTCTCATCCTTCTCCTGCAGTAAGACTGGTGGGCTTGAACTGATGACTTTTTAGCTAGCAGTGAAATGTCTAACCCAGAGCTCTTAAAAAGCAAACAAACAAACTCAAACAATTCCCATGGACTCAGTCCTGACTTATAATGATGCGTGTGTGCTATGAGTTATCCTGCGCTCTGCAATGATTTTGAAAGTTAAGTTTTCATAGAAGATTGTCAAGTCTTTCTCCCAAGGTCCTTGCCTTTGGGTGGACTTGAATCTCCAACGTTTTGGTTACCTGTGTGCATTAACCATTCTCACTACCCAGAGAGATGGGGATGAAAATGTACTTTTAATTGCTTCAGGCACTGCCTGATTCTTATGGCCTATAATGTGGGTTGTAATAATCAGGCAGTTGACTGGGTTGTCAGGTAAGAAAGTGGTTTCTTGCAATGGATTCAAGAAGCACAAACATGGCATAGCCATACTTTGGAAATACTGTGTGTTTATTTCCAAATCATAGAAATAAAGCGAATATCACAATAAAGTGAGTTACCTACATTTTTTGGTTTCTTAGTACACATAAAAGTTATGTTTACACTATACTGTAGTCTATTACGTGTGCAATAACACTATGAAATTGTTTGAAATATGGTAGGAACTACCAAAATGTGACACAGACATAAGAGAGTACATGCTGTTAGGAAAATTTGAGCTGATAGATTTGCTCAATACAGGGTTGCCACAAACCTTTAATTTATAAAAACCAAACCAAAACAAACAAAAAAAAACCCACTGTGAAACACAATAAAAAGAAGTGTGGCTGTTATCGGAAGCCCCTACTTAGGTGTTTGTATACTTGAAGGAATTATATAACTGAAATCTTCTTCATTAGTAAATGAATTAAGCAAATATTGGTTGAGTGTGTCTTGTGAGCCACACACTGTGCAAGGGATGGGATTGCTGTGTTTCCAGTAGTACACAATTCTGAATTGACTGAGTAAGCAAATGCTTTTAAAGCACTTACTTGGACTTTTAGACTCTAAAATAACTTGCTCTACAAAATACACAACGTAGTACTAGATAATTTTATCTTTCAAATATTCATTCATTGCCGTGTGCTATTGAAGCTCCTCACACTGGAATATGTGAAATACACACCACTCCCCCATTGTCTTTGGGCATGATGGTGAGACTTACTAACACTGTAGTGTTAGTGGGCATGGTGCAAGCAAGGCTTTAGGTGTGCTTACACTACTGTGATCCACCATGAGAAAAACATTTCCTGTTAGCCACTGGTCTAAGAATAATGTTGAAAATAAATGGAGGAGAAAAATACATATCTGTTGCTGTAAGCTGCTGATATTATGGGGTTGTTTTTCAGGTAACTTCAGTACAACAATAACTGATTCATACAGGTATAAGCTAAAAATACAAATTGGTATAATGTGTAATGAGATGTGTTTAGAATGCAACATCATTTTCTTTGTTGGGGAAGCATACCTTTGATTGTAGAATGAGAAAATGCTTGAAAGAAGTGAGATTGAGCTAGGCCTTAAACAATTTTAATAGGTAAATATGTTTTGAGTATTAAGGAATAATCCATGTTAGCTGCATTTTTGTGGCTGATTTAGAATGGATTATCTATTCATTGTTATCTTGGGAACCTAATGGAGGGTAGTATTGACTTCCTATGGAAGCTTTAAGGCATAGCAGAGTATAATCTTGCCCTCTTGACTCAAGTCTTTGAAACTATGCTCCAGTACTTCCAAGTTCTTTCTCTTATTCATGTGGCCTGACACTGTTTGCAGATATATTCCAGGATTATGCAACCAATCAATATAAAAGCCAACGTTTCTAGGGCCCACTTATGCTCCATCTGGGCTATCACACAGATTCATTCTCTTTTAGATTTAAACAAATACGTATTCTGTGCTTCTTGCAGGTCAACCTTTTCTTCATGTATTTTTGCTCTCTTAACCTGAACAAGAACCTTTTGACATCAGTGTTTTTTATCCCCATTTTACTGATGATGAAACTGAAGACCAGAGAAGTTAAATCTCATGGTCATGTCATACAGCTATTAAGTGACTGGGATGAAATTCTGACCTTTGTCTTTT